TATTTATCAGCCCAGAGCAAATTTATCTATGTCAACGGTTTGCATCAGACTTTCTTCTTGAAAGTGATGCAACTTTCGGTAATAACCAACTTCGAATGCCTCTTGCTCATCTTGTTGGAATTACAAATACCAATCAAACTTTCTCTGCTGGATTCAGCTTTATTCGAGCTGAGAGTTGTGAAGATTTTAATTTCATCCATATGAAGTTAGATGAGTTAGTCTGGGCTGGCCGTCGTCCACCTCCAAAAGTTATTATTACAGACCAAAGCAAAGGAATGATCAAAAGCTTACAAGAAACAATGCCACAATCATTTCACCAGTTATGTGAATGGCATATATTTCAGAATTTCAAGAAACGTCTTACAGAAAGCACTCGATATGAAAAGGATCAGCGAGAAGTTCTACATAGTTATGTTTGGAGATATATTCAAGCATCTACTATTGAGAAAATGCAAGAAGCAAAAGCAGAGCTTTTATACCATTTACATCCAAAAGAAAGAGAGTATCTGCATGATAATTGGGATAATAAGGAAATACAGGTATGTATACTAAAATTCTATACTATGAATTATTCATATACTTACATCTGGTACTTTAGTTCTTAAGATGTCATACTCGTCATTACAGAAATCTAGGGGCTAACTCTACTCAACGGAATGAAGGAATTCACCCTTGGGCCAAACAATTCCTAAATCCACAGATTACTTTGGAGGAGTGTACTTCACGCTTAATGAAATATTTGGTTGCTATGCATACCAAAATTCAGCGCCAGGAAATTGAAAGCCGAACAAAAGTTCCTCGCATCTTTGATTCTCAAGTGGCATTTCAACAACTCTTTGGCCAAGTCACTCTTTTTGCTATTGATAAAATCAAGTATGAGTGGAACTTAGCTAAGCTTCTGTATATGGAAGCCGATAATGAGCTTACTTGCTATAATTGTTCTTGTGAGATCATTACCCGCTATGCATTACCTTGTCAGCATCGGCTTCTTCCAATAGTTGCAGAAAATCGACCAATTCCACTATCATTACTACACCCACGCTGGGTAATTAATGGATCCATTGTTCCCTTCAATTGGCGCATGATCGATTCAAATCTACCAGCTATAGATGTGGCAGAACCAGGAGAACCTACACTACGAGCGGAACCAACACTACGAGCGGAACCTACACTACGAGCGGAACCTACACCGCAGCAACCACATGATATCTATGTTAACCAAGGACATGAGTTGCTAGTTCGCTCACTATATATGCAAGAGCAACTACATCAATCTCTCACTGGCGAACAGGCTGAGCACTTTGCAAGCTTGCAGCAGGCCCACACAACGAAAATGCAGGATATGTTTTGCTTGCCAACTGCACCTGCACCTGCAGATGATATGGGAGTAGAAGACATGTCCGATAATGCCTCTAATATACTACATCAAAAACCGATCATCCAAGAGTTTGTACCGCCTGCTCTTAACAAGTTCCGGCAAAAAAAAGTTAAGGGAAAAGCTAAGGCACGTGCTCTAACTGGTGCAGAGTTGGCTGAAAGAAATTCACATTCCAAAAAGCGCTGTAGAAGGGGTGAGATTAGCCATCAAGAGACACAGGAGGTTATTTGTGTAATTCCTTCTACTGCTCCAATGTAAATTAGTAGCTATATATCATTTGCTTTGGAAATAAACTCTTTCGATATTTCCGCCATATAACTCTCGTCTAATCACCGGACAGGTAGGAAGTACCTGTCCCAGGCCGGAGAAACTTTCTACCTGTCCCCAGCCGGACAGGTAACAAGTACCTGTCCCGAGTCAGTCCGGGGGTTCAAATCATCAAGCGATAAGAAGAGCGAGGGCAGGATCCAGAAAACAAGCCAAGACCAGGACGTTCTAAGAAAATTACGAAAGAAATAGCTTGATGAAATTTTAGGTTCTATACCTGATATTCGACTCGAAATGCATGAAGCTGGAATAGATGATCCTATATTTATGTAGGACAACTCATCTATTCATACCCCCAAGCTGGTGAAGGCGTTTTTGAGGATAGTGACGGGAAGGTTGCAGAACATCCAGTATGCTCTTCTGATCTCAATCCAATTGGGCATGTTTGGAAGAAGCCCTAAATGGGTTCCGGAATCTCTTTTACAGTCACGTTGGACTTCTATGCCCCGTTGAGTTGCTGTGGCAATTAAGGCTCAAGTCTGGCATATCAAGTATTAAATTTCCTTTGATCTTGTACTCTTGATAGGCCCTAGTCTGGCGGGCGCCGCCTCTCGTAGGTTGCGTTCTATATTTTGCTTGTATCTATCAATCCACGATTTCTGAGGTTCTGTGCGGTGCGGTGCGGCTAATTCTGTCTGACACATCGGCTAATCTGATCAACGTGGGCCGTTTTTATGCACCGTACGTATACCTTTGCCAGCCCAACAAATAACTACCACGATTGATAGGGATAGGAATGTCAATTTAGTAATGGTGTGGAAGCCAAGTAAGCTGGCACTTATGTAATACCTATAGCTGAAGTTGATGCGAGCAGAAGTACCTACCCTTGAAAGGACTGTTATGTTTCGCTCGGAACTTCAGGGTCTGTATCTGGCGGCACGGGCCTCTCGTTAGATAATAGGTCAGTGATTTTTTTTTTTTTTACAATCAGTTACCCGCATCTAGCATACTGCCATGGCGAGGCCCCGATCTCGGGACAAGAAGCAAAAATTAGAGGAAACGCAAAATTAGGTACACTACTCCAGGTCCGTCCCGCTGCACAAACTGAACCCCGCAAAGAAAGTCTCAACTAGCTCCCCCAAGGCCTCGGCGCTGTTCAGACCCAAACCCAACACAAGAAACAGGAAAGGTTTCTCTTAGAAGGATGCAAGGGCGGCGTGCAGAGTAAGGGTAAGAGTAAGAAATGAAGATATTTGAAAATTGAATCTCTGGTTGCGTAGCCTAGGGGCTCCAGTTATCTAGCTCTCTAACCTCCAGCTTGTTCATCATACCTGTCAGCATAGCTAGTCTGGCTGCACATAATAGCTAAAAATATTCCCTCAACTTTCACAGCACTCATCGGCGCGGTGCATAGCTTATATAGGGTATGTATGGTGCAGGAGCTCCGTGCCATTAGTCTTCACACGCAACCCTTGTTCTCGAATACCTCAACAACCACTTTAATTCAGAGCATGAAACTGCATGCCTATGACTAAAGAATATCTACATGCTATTCCATCCTTACAAAAAAACCAATTCTTGGTGTACCAGCCCATAGCCTCAATGACCGCGCCAATCCTCCTAGACATACTCCTGGCGAGTCGGTCAAATATTGATATGTCAAGAAGCTCCCAGCAGTGAATAATTGCATCAGCCAGCTTGGATTTAATAGTCTCTGCATCACCAGATATGTTGATAAACTCAGGGTAGTATTTATGGGGATTTTCTGAGGCGTACCCAGACAAGTTCGATTGGGTTTAGATCCGGTGAATAAGGTGGCCATTCCATGACGGTATATTACTGGGGATCGAAACCATTCCTTTACTGGGCCGTACGTAAGTATTGGAGCATTGTCTTGCATGAATATCCAATCCTCTTGATAGAATTCTGGGATAGTCCTGCGACATACCCACGCAGTGACCGCCCGCCTCTTTGACTCTGGATCACCACGCATCTCAACAGTAGGCCCCTTATCCGCCCCGGCAAAACAAGCCCAGGCCATCTATGTAACAACTCCTATCGTTTTTGGGGGGATTAAGACAATCCCTTTCCCACTTTTCGCCCGGTGTTCGAAAGCCCCATGCGGGTTTTCCACCAGGGTATTTTTTCGACAGAATACTCATCACTCCAATTCACCTTGCCGCACTGCCCCTCAGTCCAATTTCAGTGCTCCAATGCCCACTGAAGCCTCCTTGAGGGGATCTTATCATTAAACAATGGTCGCTGAGCTGCTCGACACAGTTTTTTTTTACGCCCACATGAATAGGCTCGTAGGCGACACCTCCCGCCTTTGATTTTCCTTGCGCTCGCCGCGTCTGCGTGCGTGGTGTTGGTGTCACTATTGGTGGGATGCGGGGTTGCGATCGAGTCTCGTGCGAATATCAATGTCCTAGAAATATACATATAGCTACTTAGATCCACTGGTTACTGAGAACAGACTCGCTAGCATCAGAAAGCACTCCTAGAGTGTAATAATTTTGTAAGTTCCATATAGACTTGGCAGAGATGCATTCATTCCAATCAATAGCCTCCCTATGTCTATATTCTACCGTGCCATACTGAAACTCAACCACAGAAACAACCCCAACCGCGCAACGCATAGATGTGCTTTTAGCATACCTTGCAGGCCGCACTATTGGACTGCACTGACTAAACCCCAGCAAGAACCCAGAAGTATATCTCCCGCAGTCGGAAGGCGGGGTAAATACCGGTCAATCACTCCAAAATATAAACAACTCCACAAACATACATTCCCAAAATCTCATAGCTGTAGGAATAATCGCGCACCCTACAACTCCCCCATTATCGGACCTTTCTCACTTGATGGGCGGCCTTTTCCTCAACTGAATCTACCCAGCTGAAATTGTGCCACTTGCGTGCTCCAGGGCCCTATGAGAAATTGCCTCCAGGGTGAACAAGGCAGGCTGCCCAGTACTGCCCATACATACTGCGCAATAGTCCGGGGTTAAGCTCGGGACGTAGTTTCGAGAACCAATGAGGCTGTTTTTACAGTGGTAATCAAATCGCGCCCTGGACACGATTGTTCTTAAACCCATAGCAGGGGAATAGGTGCTTATGGCACCCGCGTGAGGAAAAAAATAAAAGAAAGTAACTGCTTCGCTGCCGAAAAGAGAGAACAATGGCTCTGATCCCGGAATAACCCTTGAAGCAAGCATCAAGTCAATACTTTTCATTCTTTCCGAGCTCCCCCCAAAAAGGCTGAGAACATTCCCAAGTCGCACCACACTATTACCCTCATTTCCCCCCACCTCTCTCCTGCGAAAAAAATAAAAATAAAAAGATCACTGCCTAATTATGCCCCCTATCAGGATCGAACTGATGACACTCAGCACACATTCTATGGGACTGATGCTCTACCAACTGAGCTAAGGAGGCGGTTGGATGTTTATGTCGGAAGTATATTTGTAGTGTAGTGCTAGGGTGAGTCAGGATACTAGTCTGGTTGGCACAAGCCTCTCGTAGGTATTCAGGCGAGAGGCTTGTGCCAACCACACTACAGGAATACAACCAGACTACAGGATACGGGTTTGGAACTGTCCGTTCACGGGCTAGCTTGGTGAGTATTGTTCTTAGGCAAGTCGACCTCTCTTAGCTCTGTTTGGTCCCTCTTTCTCTCTCTCTACATAGAATCCCAAGCAAGACAGCTCGTCAAACCCCACTAGTTTTCCCAGGTGGTGTATATAAGCAACTAGAAACCGGCAAAGGAAGCATGCAGTTCTTCTCCTTCGATATCGACATACCGCAACAATTAGCGAGCGAGATCGCATATCTCTAACAAGGCAATATCATCAAGCAGGCAGCACAGACATAAGCATGCGAAAAGGACAGCGTAGAGGTAGTCAAGGACGAGCAGCAACTGGTGGCGGAAAAAAACTACATGGAAGGCCTGTGGGGCTTTGGTCACGGGAGACGGGGTTTGTCCGTAGCAGAGGGGAGGGTTTGGAAGTATGTATGGAGGGTTCCGATTCTCTCTGGCAGTTGGTTTTTTTGCGGGCGGGGCAGAAAGAGACGAATGAATGCTTCCCTCACAACTCGCACCAACCCATGCACAAGAACCATCCCGCCACATGACAGCATATACATATTCCGGTGCAGCACTGTTCGCATGTCGTGGATTAGTAAGACTAGTATCTGTGGGAAATACTCTCGCCGGACGTCTAAAAGGAAAGCGAAGGTACACTGGTCGAAGCAAGGATTCCCGAGAAGGAAAGTGAAGCTATGAAAGGACACATATAAGCGACTGGATCGCACCCACCGTTAGCTAGTTTTTGTATTAGAGCACTCGAACCATGGCATCTAGTCTATAGCGATTTGCAGATAGCTCTAATCTACTCTGAATTCTCCGCAAAGATTCCTCGCTGCATAACCTCGTAATCTTACAGTATCCTTATCTCAGACTATGTCTGAAGGAACATAGTTCCTTTTAGGTCAATGCTAGGGATGTAATATTAGTCAGATGTGTAAAATTACGAGGTTATGCAGTGAGAAATCTTGTGTGGATGATTCAGAATAAATTGGAGCTATCTTCAAATCGCTATAGACTGGGTGCTATAACAATGTGCGCTTATATGCTCCCTCGCGCTCCTTCACTTTCTCGCTTTCTTTCCCGGGCGACCAGCGAGAGTATTTCCCACAAGATGATTAGTTACGTCGTTGGGATTTGTACATAGCACTCTAGAGAAGCAGCATCATCACACACGATATCACATCTTGATGTTAATACACTGTGGCTTCATCACATCCTAGTGCCTCTAGTGTCCTTACCGTGCCTTGTTTAACTCGCAAACCATTACGGCAAGTAGTCTCGGTAGCCTATTCACGCCCTATCTAATTCTGCTCTTATCTTTCACACAGAAGCCGCAAGCGAAGCCATGTATATACGTCACTGGGTTTATATCGTCTCGGGGTACTGTATTAGCTGAGCTAGCTCCCAGCAAGGACAACGTATACGCCGTACCTAGGTCTCCTAGCGGGTTCTATTGAAGAGCGGGTTCTAATCCTCATATGCATTGTATGCATTCCATACTAAGTGCACGTGCATTGCTGTGAGAGTTATAGTAAGCAAAAGAAAATATAGAAACCAATATATCTCGCATGGAGGGGGAAGCTGTTTTTCATATTACTACATCAGTAAGGGAATAGCTACTCTGGTAGCACATCTTGCACTCTGGAAGCATGATGTAGACACCTTAAGATAGCGCCACCTAGCTTGCCAGTTGATTGGGGATATTACGTATCGCCTCAGCATAGTAAACGAAAGACTTGATTACAAGAGTAAATATCAGAACTGCCCTAGCATATCGTTCCACCCTCTCTACGCTGATCTACCTTATATCACAAAAAAACCAACCTCACATCAGGCACCCCCCACCGCCCTCCTCCCCTCCATCATCTCCCTATACCTCTCCACCACCCCCCTCCTCTCCTCCGCCAACATCTCCCGCCTCGCAATACTCCCCACCGCCTTCGGAATTCCACCCACATCCATCCCCACCCCCTTCGGCGCTCTCAGAATCTCCCTCGGCTTTACCCTCAACTCCGGCGGTGCCTCCGCCGTGTCCCCGAACTTTGCCCTTCCCCGCTTTTCCAGGAGGATGGCGAAGGGATCTGGGCTTGGCCCGCGAGGTTTCAGCTTTTTCTTTTGCCCGGGAGCGCGTTTCTGAAGGGGGCGGGGAGCACGGGGACGGAAGGTTTTCGGGCGGGGGTCGCCGAGCGAGTCGACGGAGTAGGTGGAGGAGGAGTCGGTGAGGTAGTCGGAGTAATCTTCTTCTTCGCGATCTTTTGCGGGAGTGGATGTGGCTTGTTTGGATTTGGAGTTTGAATTGGGGAGGAGGTCCATAGGGTTGGTTTGGGAGCGTTTGGCGCCTTTGAGTGGGATGGGCATTGAGGCGTCGACGCGGCGGTTGAATGCACGGAGGGATTCGCCGGGGAGGATCTGTGGGGTTGGTTTTTTCTGGGTGGTCGGTGGCGGTGGTGATGGTGGTGGCTTATCCGACTTTCCCTTCGATGCCTTCTTAGCCTTTGGCCCACCTACATCTTCCTCTCCGCCACGTTTCCGCTTGCCCCCCGCGGACATGAGCCGCGCAAAGGCCCTGGGGGTGTCATCTTCCAGATAGCCGGCGTTGGCGGTGGGTAAGCGTTTTCTGAGTTTGAGAGGCTTTGTCCGGGAGAGGTTTGTGTGTTTTGAGAGGGCGGTGGGGGGAAGTTCGAAGCTGTGAGTGTGTTAGCTGGGGCAATGTGAGTGGTAGGGCTACTGGGAGGCGCACTCGAGGCTGAGGTTCTTGTGGTGCCGCCTTTTGGAGGGCATTGGGGATACGGCCGTGTTCTGTCTGGGCTGAAGCGACTCCACACGATTTTCGCAGGTCGTCTCAAGCTTGCCGAGCGCCAAGCCCCACGCGCAGCCGGGCTGTTATGCATGTATGCAGTTTTCTGCATGCAATTCCCTGCATATCGGCGTGTGATGCGGCAGGCAAATGCATATGCACCGCCGAGCACTCGCTTACCTGCGCTTGGCTCCAGCCCTTGCGGACGCCACCACTGAGGCGGCGGCTGTTTGCAACTTTACGCTTGTGACCGTACAACATCTGCCGGTGCGAAAGCAGCAGGCGCACTGCGGGGGTTTGGGGGACAGCCATATGTTGGCATTTGTTTCCCACACCTTGTTCTATCCCAATCCACCAGATCTGAGGCGCTGGACGTTCGACGCACCCAGTGCAGACTGACATTCTCACGCAGGTGAAGAGGGCCAGCGCACAGCTAGGTAGCTCCCGATGGAAGAACTCCGACCAACGCACGAACACTCCGAATCGCCCTCCGCGTCGGTCTACACCTACTCCGCCGACGACGGGCTCGAGGACTCCTCCGACGCCGAAGCCGGGGCGCTGTTGGAGAAGCAGCACCATACCCGGGACAGGGGAACATGGAGGCAGAGTCGGGGGGCGGAAGCTATTCGCCGCATATGCGGGAGCTTGGTGGGGGTGGTCTTTACAGTGATGATTCTGCTGTAAGTCATGTCTTGCGTTGGTGGGGGTGAATGTCGCATGTTACTGGTGTTGTTGGGAGGCTGGACGCGAGCGGTGATCACATTCTCCCTTTCAGGGGGATTTATCCTTTTTCGCAATAAGCCCCCTCTTTCCCACGTTTACCTTCACCGTACCGCATCCTCATCCTTCTGCCCACTGTCTGTGGGTTTCAACAGGCTAACCTGCGATCATGACGCCGGCAAGGTCCCTCGCGCAAATCGTTCACCTCCTCGTCGGATTCTCCGCAGCGGTTTGGGCGGGCGACGTCCAAAACTATCTGAATAAATTTGAGGGAAGCGGCCGGCAGTGGTATCCGACGAGTTTCACGAGAGATATTATACCGGTATGTTCACACCCCTCTCTGCACACGCTGCAAACAGAATTGCTGATGCTCTGGGTAGAAACCGATACATAGGTGGGCGAAATATTGGCTGGGAGAATTCTACCACCGGGGGTGCTAATACTACGGGGATAGCCATAATGACTATTGGCGGAAGGCGCCACTATATGACGGTTCGTCGCCCATCCGGAGCTCGCAGGTTCATGCAACAAATAGCTAATGTTCTTGCGACACAATAGCAATTAGTGTCGGGTGTATTTCCGTCGAAGCGGACGTGTGGCATTTCGATGGCGATAATGAGCTATACGTACGTGCCTCCACGCGCTTCTCTCTCATTCGAATGCAGTTATAGCTGACTTCGTCCCTCCTCCCTGTAGGTCGGCCATGATCTATCCTCCCTGACAAAAAACCGTACCTTGAACTCTCTATACATCAACCCCCTACTGGATATTCTCCACCGGCAGAACCCAGAAACGGAGTTTGCGCATGACACCTCCAAGTACTTAAGATTGCCCTCCCTCCCCGGCAAACCCTGACCCTACCATATTTCCCCACTCTAAGCTAACCCCCTTCTCCCCTCCAACAGCGGCATCTTTGACACAAACCCCGAGCAAACCCTCTACCTCTACATCGATATCAAAACCTCCGGCGTCGCGACATACACCTCCATCCTCAAGCACCTCACCCCCCTGCACCCCTACCTAACCCACTACAACGCCAGCACCGCCCTCACGCACTATGGCCCCCTGACAGTCATCGCCACCGGGAACGCGCCCTTCTCCGAAATCTCCGTCTCCCCCACATCCTCCTCGGACTATGCCCGGTACGCATTCTACGACGCGCCGCTCCTCTCCCTCTCGGACTCCAATACGCCCTACAACACCACAAATTCCCTTATGAGCAGCGAGGATTTTGGGAGTATTGTGGGCAGGGTGAGTGGTGGGGAGATGAGCAACGCACAGAAGCAAAAGTTGACAGGGCTGGTCAAGAGCGCGCACGACAGGGGGATCGGG